TTTTTAATTCTTTAAATAATGATATTTGTGATTTGAAGACAATCAGTTTTTTTTCTTTATTGGTCATCATCTTTTTGTTTATTTATATATTCTGAATAGTCTTTGATCAATATAACAATTTTTTTCCGTATTCCTCGCTTCAGAATGAAAAGAAATAAACATAAATGATAAAAAATGAATACCGGTATATCACATTATTGATAAACAAGTTTACGAGACAAGAGAAATAATAGCAGTTTCGTTTAAATTCATCATTTCGAAAGTTATACGGTCGATACATTGACCTCGTCAGCAAATATAATTTATCATTGAGTCAAGTGCTGACTGACGTTTTTCATACCTATTGTTAGTCCAATATTTATAGAGTGAGCTGATCATGACAAAGAGCAGACGGTGGGTGTGACCGGTTGGCATGGGATGCTCACTCCTCAATGGCGTCTGATCCAACCTCTGATGTTTTGGAGGTCCGTGATTGCTCTGCCCCTATTGTGTATTGTTTTATTGACTTGATATTGAAAATTGTTCGTTATCTCAGTATATTTCATAAATACTTGTTATTACAAGAGATAGTAAAAAAGGCACAATTGAATTAACATTAAAATAATCATGTTTAATATAAATTTATCATAATCTGTACAAAAATAAGGCAACTGATTCATCGATAGTATATTGCCTAACGCCTCTCTTGAGAATTTTTCACTCATATGGAGACGCAACCACTTGCCGATGGGGAGCTGCAATTTGTTTTCCTATACTCGGCACTCAGGGTCATTGAACAGGAGGGGGATCTTTTTCGTGTCAGCACTACTACGAAACGTGACATACGTGTTACAACGAACTTTGAATTTTTTTCAAACTTTTCAAAGTGCGTTAATAATATCCACCATATTAACGCACTTTGCAAAAAAAATGTATTGCTTGGTCAATATTCTTGCAAGTCTAAGGTATGATAAATAATTGAACCTGTTAGATAACTTTTCGGTGATAAGGTCACATCAGGATGTGAAAGTGAGCGATCTTGATTTTCCATACTTTGAAAATTCTTTCACTATCAAATGTTTTACTGTAGTTATTTTTTTTTCCTTTTTGTGTGCATTTTTTGGAAACAATGTAGTATAGGCATCAGCACTAGGAGGTGATGGGGGGGGGGGGGGTTAGACACACGAATGTTTTGCAAAGATATACATAATATAGGCATTGAAAATGGGGCTTACCTTTGGGGGGTCGCTTTCAAATTACTTCCGACGGATATGTGTAAGGAAAAAGTGTTTTGAAAGACCTATGCAGTCGGTGTGGCAGCAGATCGGTCAATCTTCCATTCAGGGGTACATGGTATCCAACAGTAAAGGATGTCTTGCAGTGGCATAAGAGCAAGTGGTGGTCTTACTCCAAAGAGATTTTTTTTGTTTGAATTTTCATTTTTTAGGGTTTATCATTTCCTGGACATCTTGCTTAAAATCCTCACGAGATACTTAATACATGATATTTACGCAACATCGAAATGAAATATGCATCATTAACCAGGAATTAAAGAAACTATTTCTTGTATGCATTTATTCTTTAAAAATATTAGCTGAACACTTAGAAGTTTGTTTCAGTATATCATTATTTGTATTTAATATAATTCATTTGTATAAAAACGTATGCTGTATAGTCCATGTGTCTTCCATTAAATTTTCGATATATGTATTTGAGAAATTGCATTGCTTTGTATTTAAGGTACATGTAGTGCAGAATAAGTAGGCCAAATGTTTCCTCAAGTTAATTTTATTTTTGTTCTGAAATCATTCAACTTCTGTCTGCAAATGAATGATATGGACGGGGCTCCCTTTATTTAGAACCTCATGAAATGATTGATGCGATGTTGTCATTTTATACTATGTTATGATAAACAGATGATAGATCAATAATTGCTGTATATTAATTCAAAAACAAAGAATCTTTATTTTCCTTCTTCTTCTCCTCCTCTTCGTCGAAAAATACTTTTTTTATATTTCCTTTGTGAAAGGTTTGCACTATATTTTCTTTGAATCCTTTTATCAGTTACACAAGGGTCTATGATATGATACAAATAACTTTCAATTAAATTTGTCCATCAGTTAGAGTTGTTCTTCTTGTTTTCATTAATGCAATCGTAGTTATGTTAGAATTGTTTAATCCATTTATTATGTGCTTGATATAATTTTTTTTTATTCTTAATTAAGATCAGCATTTGTGATGATAAAATAAATCTAAATGAGATTAATTATTAGGATAATTGTTTTGTTTATAACCAAATTTAGAGCAACATCAATCACGAGAAAACCCATGTACAAGTATTATTTGGGATATTCCAACGCCGCTCCGGCTTTAATTCAAGTAAAAACACTGGTTCTCAAGTTTAAATATTGTTAAAAGTTTAAACTGTACAATGTATTCCTTACGTCTGTTCCCATGCAAAAAATATCTTTACAAATACAATAAATCAAGCTTATTCTGTTGCTTCATATTTTATTTGGTAAAATGCTGAGATGCATAGTACATTTTATCCAAAGACGTACATATGATAAAAGTATTTCCACTTATGAGCTAAGCGACCTGGTGCACTTTTGACTTGAACACTCTCCCGGTCTGAGATGACAGCCTGCATGCAGACATCAGATCCGCTAAACTTTTTAATCTGATTCAGAACAGACGTTGCCTTCCAAGCATAATGAATCCAAACAACTGTCTCAGTTTTAACTTTACTTAATTTCTTTTTGTAATGGTCTTTGTTTATTTTCTGTTTCTTCTTTGGTACGCTTGATGTTAAGACATTTCTACCGTCTTTTTCCAAATATTCGTCCCCGCCGCAGAGTTTAAACACGTGTCCGTTCTTCCCGGTCCAAGATTCGGCCATTTTGTTGTACACAATGACTACCCAATCCCTCCAGTAGTATTTTTTGGAGTAAAAATTGTACAGACGTTTTGCAAATCGTGTGTGGCTGTCGTCTTTGTACTGTGCCGAGAGGCCTTCCAAATCTTTCATCTTTTGATCTTCCCATGCATCAGTGACTTGCTTATCCACATCTTTCACTTTCTGTAAAGCTGCCTTAATGTTTTTTTCCCATTCGGTTTTTTCCATTCTGTAGCTGGCTTTTCTATTCGTGAGCTGCAAGAAGGCTAAATTAACTTTCACAGCTGTCACGAGAAGTCCAACACATCCAGCCATTACTTTTTGCATTTTCTTGCGATCATTATTTGTATATGCCATTGCTTCATTTGGAATATTGTCCGTAAAAGATTGTTTGGTCATGATGCCATTGTATATTTTTTTGGCTGCACTTTGATAACTGACCTTGAATGCCGTGATAAAACGCAATTTTTGTCCTTTTACAGCATCTTTTGGAGCTTTCATTAACATATGTAGTCTATATGACAAAGCGTTGACATTTTGTTCAATTCCTGAAAACTGCGACTTGATGGCTTTAGATTTAATTAGATTTGTAACTTCGCCGAAAAGTCTCTCCATATTTCTGAAATTCGAATCTACTCTTGAAAATTGTTCTTTTAAAAATGTTAAAGTTGGATCTTCTTGTTTCGGAAGAAACAGGGTAATGATATCCATAAGTGGTCCAATTGCCGCCAAAAAGGGAGCTATTGAACCCATTATTTTTGTGAATTTAGCTAGGACCTTGACACCAGCCACTATTTCGGTGATAGCATTGGTTGCTTCAATTCCGGTTTTTACAGCCTCTGATACCTCTTTAACATCATCTCCTACGTCAGCTTGAAGGTCGGCGATCAAGACCAACAAAAACACAAACAGCAATAAACGAATTATCTGCATGATTTCGAACTATAGGATAGAGATCTGAAATACAAAATACGATTAAAATACAGTGTTAAAGGCCAGTTTACGTGGTTAAGTTATTATTAGATACGCAGACAAAATCGAATAATCAAGTTTTGTTATGCTGTTTTTTTTTTATTATTATTCAATTTCGTAATCAATAATTTTTAAATCAAACAGGATGTGTAACGAAACACAAATCTATTGTCTTGCTTTGATTTAAGGTTACACTTTTTTTTAATTATCTCTTTAATTACTTTGGTTAATAAATTGGAACAAATGAAGATAGGTAAGAAAATGAAGAATTTACTGACTAAGAGGTTTTGAAGTAAACACTAAGAAAATGTGAGTGTTACCAGGTAAAGATTTAGCAAAAGGCAAAGAACCAGAAATATATATATATATATATATATATATATATATATATATATATATATATATATATATATATATATATATATATATATATATATAATTTAAGAAAAATCCAGTGTTTTGGTACAGTAAAATATATCCAATGAAAAAAAGTCAGAAATCACAAATCTCGAAAATCATTTTTACTGTTAGCGCTTTCTGCCTAATGGCTCTTCAGACAGTTAAAAGTTAAATATAAAATTGCTTAGTAACGTTCATAAGCACGACGTCAAGTATTGTCCATTGTGACGTCATAATAACGTTAAAAGGTAGCATTATAATTCGCACCGTTACAATCACTTAAATAAACCAAAAAACAAGTAGAAAATAACTTTAGTTAAAACTGAAGTAATTATTTTCTGTTAAGTTTTGGGTTAAATAGTTTAATGAAGTAGTCCTCCTTTGCTACTCTGGATATTTCACAGTCATTGTGCATTTTATAAAATGGAAATAATTTAAATTTCCCTTTCCCACAGGTAGCAAAGTGCTCACTGCACGGCGTATTCCTTACGCTAGGGTCCCGAATTTGTTGTTTATGGACTCGCACTCGTGCGTTCAGTTTGCCGGTTTGTCCTATGTAGTTTTCATCACAGGTCGGACAGGTTATGCAGTAAATAACATTTTCTGATTTACAGGTCATGTTGGCGTTTGGTGTTAATTTTTTACCACATTTTAAAGTTTTTTCGCTTCCCTCCTCCAGATATTCACATGTTCCACAACGTGGGTCACAGCACTTTTTGACGACTTTGGCATTGAGTGTTGCAAATCTTGCTCTGGTTAGGATTTTCTTCAGATTGGGTGCCTGTCTTCTGCTATTAATAATTTGAGACTCCTTGATGATGTCTTTTAGATTCTGAGATTGTTCTAAAATGGGAAAAAATCTCCTGGCTGATCTTAAAATATTGTGGTTGCGTGGATTGTGCGTCACAACAAAAGGGATGTCGCTTTTTTCACTATCATCCTTGCGGCGAGTGTTTCTTAGTACAGAAGTAGGAATGTTTTTTGCTTTTTCAATTCCGGCATTGATAAGATTCTCCGGATAATGTTGTTTTTGGAGATATGATTTAAATTCTTCTAACCTTTTCAAGCGTAAAGTTGTATCGGTTACTATTGTGCATATACGTCTTGCCATATTGTATGGAATATTACGCTTAGTATGTGATGGGTGACATGAATAGGAATCCAAATATTGGTGCGAATCTGTTTCTTTGCAGTACAGGTCTGTAATGATTTTGGTATCATAAAAAAGGTTTTAAACCACCACCAAATAGAAATAAACATCTTGAAGATTACATAATGTGTCTTAAAAATTCAGCGGATACTAATTTAGCGGAAACCAATGTGAAATCAAACATTTCAAGAAAGGAACAGAATGCTTTAAAAGATTTGAGTGAGGATTCGTCCATCATTATTAAAGAAGCGGACAAAGGAGGTGCAATAGTTATAATGGATAGAGACCATTACAAGGAAATGGTAATGAGTCAACTTCAAGATGATCAGTTTTATAAAAAACTTGACCAAAATGGAGACCGCCAAACAATGCGTAGAATTGAACGACTTACGAAAAAATTTGCTGGTGAGTTTACTAAGAATGAAATAGATTATCTCACACATTTTGAAGTTAAAACCAGCAATTTCTACGGTCTACCAAAAATTCACAAATCCAAGGAAATCCAGGAAAATATCAAAAGATGTGAAAATACATATATAAAAATTCCGAAACCCTCGGATTTAAAACTCCGTCCCATTATAGCAGGACCATCCTCATGTACACAAAGACTGAGCAATCTACTTGATTTGATTCTCAAACCATTGTGCAAAATAGTACCCAGTTTTATCCGTGATGATTTGGATTTCCTTAATTACATTCCAGAGGAAGTACAACAAAACACAATTCTTGTAAGTTTTGATGTAACCAGTCTTTACACCAACATCCTACATTACTTGGGACTTGAAGCTGTCAAATTTTGGATGGAAAAATATCCAACAGAAACGAATGAAAGATTCTCTAAAGAATTTATACTTGAAGCCCTTCAAGTAGTTTTAGAAAATAACCATTTTCATTTTGATGAGCAATTTTACCTTCAAATCAAGGGCACAGCTATGGGTACCAAAGTGGCCCCAACTTATGCCACTCTAGTTATGGGTTACTTGGAAGAAAAGCTATATAGTAAACTTCCGGAAATATTTGACGAAACTTTTGTACAATACATTCGCCAAAACTGGAAAAGGTACCTTGATGATATTTTTATCTTTTGGAATAAAACTGAAGACGATTTAGAAAAATTCCATACGGTAATAAATCAATTACAGGAATCAATTCAGTTCACAATGGAGATGAGTGACAGACAACTTCCATTTTTGGACCTCCTTCTAATTAAGGATGATACCAAAATTATTACAGACCTGTACTGCAAAGAAACAGATTCGCACCAATATTTGGATTTCTATTCATGTCACCCATCACATACTAAGCGTAATATTCCATACAATATGGCAAGACGTATATGCACAATAGTAACCGATACAACTTTACGCTTGAAAAGGTTAGAAGAATTTAAATCATATCTCCAAAAACAACATTATCCGGAGAATCTTATCAATGCCGGAATTGAAAAAGCAGAAAACATTCCTACTTCTGTACTAAGAAACACTCGCCGCAAGGATGATAGTGAAAAAAGCGACATCCCTTTTGTTGTGACGCACAATCCACGCAACCACAATATTTTAAGATCAGCCAGGAGATTTTTTCCCATTTTAGAACAATCTCAGAATCTAAAAGACATCATCAAGGAGTCTCAAATTATTAATAGCAGAAGACAGGCACCCAATCTGAAGAAAATCCTAACCAGAGCAAGATTTGCAACACTCAATGCCAAAGTCGTCAAAAAGTGCTGTGACCCACGTTGTGGAACATGTGAATATCTGGAGGAGGGAAGCGAAAAAACTTTAAAATGTGGTAAAAAATTAACACCAAACGCCAACATGACCTGTAAATCAGAAAATGTTATTTACTGCATAACCTGTCCGACCTGTGATGAAAACTACATAGGACAAACCGGCAAACTGAACGCACGAGTGCGAGTCCATAAACAACAAATTCGGGACCCTAGCGTAAGGAATACGCCGTGCAGTGAGCACTTTGCTACCTGTGGGAAAGGGAAATTTAAATTATTTCCATTTTATAAAATGCACAATGACTGTGAAATATCCAGAGTAGCAAAGGAGGACTACTTCATTAAACTATTTAACCCAAAACTTAACAGAAAATAATTAATTCAGTTTTAACTAAAGTTATTTTCTACTTGTTTTTGGTTTATTTAAGTGATTGTAACGGTGCGAATTATAATGCTACCTTTTAACGTTATTATGACGTCACAATGGACAATACTTGACGTCGTGCTTATGAACGTTACTAAGCAATTTTATATTTAACTTTTAACTGTCTGAAGAGCCATTAGGCAGAAAGCGCTAACAGTAAAAATGATTTTCGAGATTTGTGATTTCTGACTTTTTTCATTGGATACATATATATATATATATATATATATATATATATATATATATATATATATATATATATATATATATATATACAGTGGGTATCCATGTAAAAGTGAAACTCTTTGTGCTTTCTATATTAATATTTCTTCACTTAGGGCAGTTATGTTAGTTTAAGAGTTGTTGTAAAATGTGCTTTATAAAATAATAATTAATTTCATTACAACATGTATTGGTAACAATCCTCTGTTAAAAAAACTAATTTCCAAATAACTGTATCTCACTTCTATTCTCACTGACCGTGTAGTGTAGGGCAGCGCCGCGAGAATTCCATCGGCATCGAAAGCAAGTTTTTTGACTTGCCTAGATAGCCGAGCGGTCTAGCACGCTGTTCCTGCACTGCTAGGAGACAGATTCCGAAGGTCGAGAGTTCAACCCCGGGCTGGGGCGGAAGTGGGTATCCATGTAAAAGTGAAATTCTTTGTGCTTTCTATATTAATATTTCTTCACTTAGGGCAGTTATGTTAGTTTAAGAGTTGTTGTAAAATGTGCTTTATAAAATAATAATTAATTTCATTACAACATGTATTGGTAACAATCCTCTGTTAAAAAAACTAATTTCCAAATAACTGTATCTCACTTCTATTCTCACTGACCGTGTAGTGTAGGGCAGCGCCGCGAGAATTCCATCGGCATCGAAAGCAAGTTTTTTGACTTGCCTAGATAGCCGAGCGGTCTAGCACGCTGTTCCTGCACTGCTAGGAGACAGATTCCGAAGGTCGAGAGTTCAACCCCGGGCTGGGGCGGAAGTGGGTATCCATGTAAAAGTGAAATTCTTTGTGCTTTCTATATATATATATATATATATATATATATATATATATATATATATATATATATATATATATATATATATGCATAACTATAGGTATAATTTTATATTCTAATTTTTTACCATAATTCCACAGATCCCATAATGCAAATATGCTGCAAGTTTTTGCACACTGTAGGGGATCTATTTAATTTTGTCTCTTTCCGGCCTTGGTCAACCAAATACTTTTCACTCATTATTCTAGACATATTTAACGACCAACCTTTTTTTCCACCTCGTTCCCTTTATAGACTTCTCTTTCACTAAAGACCAATAAAATCGCTTGTTTAGATTTTTTGTCGGATGGTAGAAAATTCTAAACAATTCTGAACAGGCTAGTTTACTGGTCTGTATAGACGATTTTAAGGCTAAGGAGGTGGCTAAAATACACAGGATGGTATTAATATGTCAAAAATTGGTGAAAGAAAAGTATTACATTGACAAATAATGAATATATCCCCAACAGATATCTTGCATCATAAAATGCGTCATAAATGTGTAGGAATCCAAAGTGCGATGGAACTCCAAAGTCCGATGGTCACTCCAAAGTCCGATGGTCTGCGCCAATCCCCGATGGTCTGACACGCCAAAGTCCGATGGTTCAGAAAACAATTTACGTTTATGACGTCATACAACTACTGGGTCAAACCTCAATGCCTTCCCAGGCCAAGGCTTTAAATAAAAAAGTATCATTATGCCAAAATTAACCCTAATCTTTCACATAGGCGCAAAACTAACCCTAATCGTTCGAAAATAGTGTAACAGCTATAACCTAGATGTCTTGGTTGGATGCAAGACTAACCGTTATCACTCGACTAGTGTTCGAGGACTAACCCTAAATCTCTCGACTTAGCGCAAAGCAAGGACTAAACCTTATCAGTCGAGTGGTGTGCGAGAACTATAATCCTAATATCTCTGGAATGTGCAAGCAATAAGCAAAATCAGTAAAATTGTATGCGAGGACGAATTCAGAAATTTTGGCTGTTGAATGCAGGACAACGGCATCAGTGATTGACGTGGAATTATTGTGACGTCATAAACATAAATTGTTTCTCCGCACCATCGGGCTTTGGCGTTTTAGACCATCGAACTTTTAGCGCAATATGTTTCATTGGAAACAAGCCATCAAACTTTGGCGTGACCATCGGACTTTGGCGTCCTTACCGACAACAAACAATCGGGATTTGGCGCAGACCATCGCACTTTGGCGTCACCATCGGACTTTGGAGTCTTACATATGTATTAAGAGATTTGTAACATTATGGTTAAATACTTAAATTAAAACAATAACGCTTTAGTTCTGCAGCTAAATATATGCACCTTCTATAAAAAAGAGTCGATGGAGAATAGTGTGAAGATTCAGAAAATAACCTGCTTTCTACCAGGAGAATTTATACGCAGCAAAGTAAAAATGGGATCTGTAAACAAGATAAATAGTTTTAAAAATAAATATTACCTTTTGGCAGCAAGGGTCCACCAGTTACTGTGCATTGTTGAGTCTTTACTTATATAGATGAGTCCTATAGAAAAAACCCTGACAAGCATTTTATCTTGTTTAAACAATTAGAATTGACTTAACAATTTACTGGAGACAATTCAATTGAGGATCGAAAACACCTGCATTCTATATTCTAAAATTACGGAAGTATTATGTACATCTTAACAATATTCACTCATCATATTAAATAACATCAAATAGAGGCAGCTGATTATATATACATAGCAAAACAACTTAATAGACATTTCAACCATACAAATTTGAGAACAATTAAATATCCGAATTTTACTAACACGTTTTATTATTCACTCATTGCTCAGTTAATATCAATTACCTGTATATGCATATGCCTGGATTTTGAATAAAGACGTTTGCATCATGTAAAAATAAATCACCCTGTGTCAGTAATTGTACATGTTATTAAAATTACAGGCAAATTCCCAGAAAAGAAGCTTCGTGAAGCTTTGCGAATTACCTTTTTTTTTAATTTGAACACTTCCTAATATATGATTCTATTGGATGAAACAAAATAGGCAAACACTACTTTGTAATTTACGGCAGATTATTCTCTGATTTTCATTAATAATAATCATGATAAATACGTGCTTCCTTAATCTGCGTACCGCAGATGTTGGTGTAAATTGTGATCCATATTAATAAAATTAAGAAACAGTTAATTAATTTTCTTTGAAAAAAAATATCAAATTTTATTTGAATTTGAATCTCAATTCTTATAAAGATCACATAAATATCTCAGTTTAATATAAGGTGTCCCAAATTGTCGAATGAAATCAATAAAAGTTTAAACAGTATCCAATCTCAATCTTGGACATGGACAGCGGCAGTTTTTAATTTTACCATGTAAACTGATTTTTAAAAAACTCATCTTAAGTCATTCGGTTATATTCCTAATTAAAAAGATTACAAGTAATTGTCGGGAAAGTTTTTATATTACACTAGTATGAAATAGGATATTTTGCATTTACCTTTTTTCATTACATGAATATCATTGATCGGAAATCGAGTCATTAATGTATTCAATATATTAAATTTATTCAAAAAATTGTTATTAATTATGTATCAATATTGCGCAATTACAAATTTTAAGTGTTACTTGTAAAAAGGATTAAGTGAAAAAAAATTCTCATCCTTTTTGTATTTGTCATGATGCTTCTGAATTAAAAAGAAACCGCACTATAGATTAAAATTTTGTTTTAGAAATCAATAATTTTATTTTCTAACCTCGTCTCAACATATCAGACTTTTTTAAACTTTGAGGTCAATGTGACCTTCGTGACACTGGATTACGCTAGCATCATTTTACTTGACAAAAAGAGTTTTAAGTGTGGGATATTGAAGCTCCTTTAGTCTTTGTTAAATTTTGGCTCCATATCTATAATGACTACTGCACGTATGTTTCTTTCCTGTATAATTTCCACGATAAAAGCACAATATTTATGCTAAATTTAAATTGGAAGATATGTTTCTTTTTTTTTATCAACTTGTTTGAGTCATGCAAAGCTTAATGAGAAACCCAAGAGGAAAACTATGACCAAATATTTCTTTGGGTCCCACTGAAAATTTAAGCATAACGTCTTCTTAAACACATTTCCAACTCCTCCAATGTGTTCTGTCCCGTCTGGTCAGTGAAAAGTTCTCCAAAAATTTTCGATGTGTGCTGTTCAGCTGCACATGCAGTGAGGTCCTTTCCAACATAGTGAGTAATTCTTACGTAGGAGTTTTCTTGACGTGTCGTTACAGTACGACTTGGCCAAGTGGGAATTCGAAGTTTAACACTTAGTAATCCGAATTTCCGTATAAACCGTAGAATGGTTATGTGGTCTCTGTTAAAAATATAGCGATTTTATTCATTGTAAGGTATTCAATATGTTGCTGTTTCGAATGGTATCTTTAAAGTTTGTAAGTAAAATTAACACTTAAGTGAAAGAAAACAAACCTCTCGTGAACTACATATGTCAAGCTTGGGCAATATCAACTTACACTGCATATTATTGTGAGGACTCGCTAAGTTGGTACAGCTTGCGGTCTATTTTCATTTACTGTTTTTTGCTATTTTGTTTTCTTTTCATGAATTTTACCAATCAGGAGAAATAAAAAATGGATCAAAATACTCAAGAAATACTTTGAGAATACTTTAATATTTTGTTTAAATTTGAATTTGTTTGGACACAGATTTGAAGTTAATATTTCCTGTATAATATGACGACAGGTATATTTTTATCGCATTTCACACAAAAATAAATTAAAAATCTTATTCTATTGAAGAGCTATTAAAACTTTAAATTTTTGGCGGGTTTGATTGACACATCCTTGCACTTTCACAAATTTTAACTTTATTCCTGGAATTTTTCCTTCATTGCTGGTGTAATCTTCTTCCAAATTTGTAATATTTATGAAATTATGACGTAAGTTAAAATGTTTTTCCCTTTAAATAAGAAAATGATGATCCTTATTATAAACTTTATTTATTTCACCAATAATAAAGTTTCAAGTAAGGCTATAGTTGTAGGCTGAGGAAGAACAGGAACATATTGATGGATTGTTTTAATTGTGCGATATTTAGGCACAACTGTAGATTTTATTTTATTTATTTATTTTTTTTGTATTGAAAAATTTCGGTAACAATAATCGATAAATGTTTGTAAGATATACAAGGTGTGGACTTCAACTTGAAATATGAGGAAATATAAAATGTATATTTTTCTGATATTGAAGTTAAAGAAACAAACAAACGTTTGAGCAATATTTTCTTCCGTTAAATATGACTTGAAAAATTCTCGAATGGTATGTAAAATAACATACAATCAGTATTACGTTAAATATAGGCTACAGTAGAAGATGGATTACTATTTCTATATATCATCGATAATTGCTGTAAAATAATTTATTTACTTACTTTGCCCCCTTTATAAACATATTTATGTACAGTTTCCAATGCAAATTCATTTTTAATTAATAACTAATTTGTGGAACTTCTCGTTCATTGACATTTTTGTGTACTATCGTGAACCCAACTCACAGTTATTGTGCTATCGCAGAATTTCAAGAAACCGCCTTCACTCTCCATTCTCATAAACAACAAGACATTTAGGTATGTTGCACTTTGCCACTAATGTGACTTTAATTATAGAAAATACTTGTAATTGATTATGTAATAACTAATCATAAAATCCATAAAATTATTAATAAACAACTTATTATCTGTATCAAAAATTCACATTAGAATGAAACCGAATTATGAATATGATTAATATGTAAACCGTGATTACATAATATATGGCGTAATTCTTATGGTCTGAAACCGAAAACAACGTAAAACACATTAAACACCAAGAAAAGAAGAAATAGACAGAATTAAACGTCCTAAAAAAGGAAAAGGTGGCGGGGTGGAGGCGGCTTAAAATAATTTGAAGCTATCCAACAAACATATACTTTTCACGGCGTCCTAAAAGAAACTGAAAAGTAACGCTATCTGGACGACCGGGTCCAGATTTTTACCGCGCACGATTTTCATTGGGCGTTTACTAAATGTTCCCATTTCCAAGAATCGCTTGCATCTGCCTCTCCTAATTTGGAAATGCCAAAATCTTTCTAACGATATCGATAATGCAAGCGCGATAACTCTTACACGCAGAGCACTCCAATGTACATAAAATATTTTAAGTAAAACTTAAAATTCATTATTTTTTTCTGTGTGAATGATATGGTCAGCATTGTCTTTCATTTGAATGCTTCTTTTTGGGAAAATGAGTTCCGATGTTACAGAATGTTTCTTTGATATAACTTAGAAAATCTGAAAATGACCACCGACATCTGAATACTTTAAAGAATGCAATCAAAATCTTTCAAATGAATTATTCCATAAGCCATAGTTTTCCTTTTTTCTATAATTTTTTTCCTTTTCATTTTTATCGAAGCATTCGAAAATAACAAAGAAATGAACAGTTTGTTTTGATCTGTTCTTGCTATTTTTTCAATATTTAATAAAACAAAAAAAGATAATTAAAAAGGTTTAATCTAATATAGGCGTACTATTTCTTTATTCAATTGCTTAAATGAAGCAATATTTTAGCTAACAAGTTGGTAGTTAACACGCATTGTGATCAAATGGAAAAGATAGGTAAGCAACTAACTTAGAGGTAATAAAGTAAATACTGTTCGAATGTGAGAGAAACTTTTAGCGAAAGGCAAAGGACTGATATAATTCGTTTGTTTTGTTTTATGTCCCTTTTGTGAATTTTCCTTTCATTTTGAGACGCCACCACTTGCAGGTGGTGGGGCAGCAAAGTTTGGACCCATACTCAACATTCAAGGCCATTAAGCAATAAGGAATCTTTTTGTGTCAGTATTTACTGTGACGCAGGGCCTCGATTTAAGGTCGTATCCGAAAGACTGTCCCCACGCCCCGTAGTAGGATTCGAAATTACAACCTAAGGATCAACCCCTTTCTCAACAACTCTAACGTAAAGACTCGTAACACTGCACCACACGGTAGATCTGACAAAACATGGGTATATTACTACAAGATAAGTATTGATTAAGGATAGGATTTATATTCAGAAAAATAGTATCCAAGTCTTTAGGAGAGATTTCCTATGAAGTACAGTAAAATTATTTTCAAAACAAAATACAAATATTACTCCTTGGCGGCCATGAGTAACCAGTCATTGTTATATGTTCAATTTTTACTTTTTCAGATGAAAATTCTATTGGAAATCAAAAATACCCTGACCAGCAAAATATCATTAAATAAATATTAGAAATATTTACTTAAGAATTTGTATGATATAATCTAAATGATGATCGAAAACATGTGACATAAAATACTCTAAAATCACGTAACAGGAATACTTACTCATGATATTAAGTTGCATCTAAAAGAGGCAGATGATTATGCCCAGCAAAACAACTTCGTATCAATCAATTACAATACATTTGTACATGCACATCCGAAATTTATTACCATCTGTTATCCTCAACTTATTGCTCAGTTAATAC